CCCTGCCAAGTCCACCAGGCCAAGCCAGCTTTTCCTATTGCCTAGGTGCTCGTAGGGGGCGGGTGAGGGGCGGGTACCTTCCCCCCGGTGCACTCATCCAGAGGTGGGGCTTCCGAAGCTCGGCAGGACCTCCAAGTTCCTGTTCAAAAACTGTGATCTCGGAGTTCCAGCAGTAAGAGTGATGAGCTAACCAGTTCAGAGGGTAGGTAACATGCCCGAGGTCATACAACCAACAGGGAGAGGAGCCAGGGCTGTCATCCAGGACAGTATAACTTCAAAGTCCTTGCTCTTTTCTATCAGGCAAAACCAGGATCTGATAAGTAGTAGGCTGGGTGTTGGGCATCAGGAAAGCAGGCTGTGTGTGAGCAGATTGGAGAAAACAGAGGACAAAAGTCCAAGTGCATTCCTCACCATGGCACTTGCAACACTAAATTGTGCTCAACTTGATTTATTTCTCCTCCCACGAGGCTGCAAGTTCCTGGCAGGGTGAGGACTGAGTTTTGTGGCCTCTATATCCATAGCACGTGCTAGGCACTTGACACAGAATCTGTTCTCAGGAATGTTTGCTGATGGTTTCAGCCCTGAGGCTTCTTTTTTTATTTTTATTTTATTTTTAATTTTTTGAGACGAAGTCTTTCTCTGTCACCCAGACTGGAGTGCAGTGGTGCAACCTCCACTTCCCAGGTTCAAGCGATTCTCTTGCCTCAGCCTCCCAAGTAGCTGGGATTACAGGCATGCACCACCAGGTCTGGCTTTTTTTTTTTTTTTTGAGACGGAGTTTCGCTCTTGTTGCCCAGGCTGGAGTGCAATGGCATGATCTCAGCCCACTGCAACCTCCGCCTCCCAAGTTCAAGTGATTCTCCTGCCTCAGCCTCCCTAGTAGCTGGGATTACAGGCATGTGCCACCGTGCCCAGCCAATTTTGTATTTTTAGTAGAGACGGGGTTTCTCCATGTTGGCCAGGCTGGTCTAACTCCTGACCTCAAGTGATCCACCCACCTTAGCCTCCCAAAGTGCTGAGATTACAGGCCTAAGCCACCATGATTGGCCTTTATTTTATTTACTTTTTATTTTTTTGACATGGAGTCTCGCTCTGTCACCCAGGCTGGAGTGCAGTGGTGCAGTCTTGGCTCACTGCAATCACCGCCTCCCAGGTTGGAGCAATTCTCTTGCCTCAGACACCCTAGTAGCTGGTATTACAGGCCACGCCTGGCTGATTTTTGTATTTTTAGTAGAAACGGGGTTTTACCATGTTGGCCAAACCGGTCTCCTGACTTCAAGTGAGCCGCCTGCCTGGGCCTCCCAAAGTGCTGGGATTACAGGCATGAGCCACCCACGCAGCCTTTATTTTTATTTTTTGAGTCTAGGTTTTGCTCTGCCGCCCAGGCTAGAGTGCAGTGGCATGATCATGGCTCAATGCAGCCTTGAACTCCTGGGCTCAAGTGATCCTATCACCTCTGCTTTTCAAATTGCTGAGATTACAGGCATAAACCACCATGCCTGACCTGAGCCCTGAGGCTTCTGAAGTGGAAAGTAGGAGAGAAATCAGGTAAAACCACCACAGTTAGCCAATAAGGGTGCAAGCACAAGGGAGTGGAAGGGGCAGAAAGGAGGTAGGCCAAACACTCAGAAAATCATCTCTCTGGATAAACGAGTCTCCTCCTGACACAGCAATAAGAATTTCTCTGAAGCTTGGTGCTCTCAGAGGCCCCAGGGCTGTAGCAGGTAAGTGACTTATTTTGTTTATAGACAAAAAAGTCAAAGGTCAGGAATGTTGCCATGTGGCTTGATTTATTATTTGTTTATTTATTACTTTGTTTGTTTTGTATTAGGCAGCCTCCTGAGCCAGAGTAGGCTGAAAGACTCCCCTTTGGTCTGATTTAGTATGATAAAATATGCATACGTTGGGGAGTAACTTCCCTTAGAGTCCTCCCAGCCTGAGGGGGCACCCATGAGTCCAGAGGAGAGGCTTAAGAGACTAGGGGGTCAGGGGAGGGCTGAACTTGTCTAGGGAGACCCTGGGAAGTAGTGAGTGGGAAGTAGTGAGTGACTTCCCAGGGTCACTGGGAAGAGGACCCCACTGTCCTCATCTCAGTCCCATCTACTGACCAGCCTTGATCCACTTAGTTTTCTCAGCAAATTAGGCAGAGTGATGTTAAGGCGTTGCATGCTTTCTAGCATTCAGGAATCAGCAAGTTCAAAAACTGTGATCTCGGAGTTCCAGCGAAAAAGGAGTCTGCATGTCCCTCCAACTCTTCCTGCTTAGCCTTTTTAAAAACAAAAACAAATCTAGTTCTCTGAGACACAGCTTTGTTCTGACTTCTCCTTTTTCCACGTCCAGACCCACACCCCATCTGATGTTGTTGAAAGTGGTGTCCTGACCACTGACTTAGTATCTGGCCTAGTTGAGTGGTGGGACAGGCTCAGTGGTGCACAGGGCTCCCCAGTGGTGCTGCTGAAGCTAACAGCACTGATAGCATTGGTGGCAGCCTGCTCTCTGTGACTCAAGCACTTTCACATTTGCCATCTCACGGGGTCCTCCCAGGGACTGGTCACGCCGGAAGGCAGCTTTACTTACTGTGCTGCTGCAGAGGCAGTGAAACTACTGGGAACTGAAATCCTCTGCCAGTTTCCATCCCACCCCTTGCACTGAGGACAGAAGAAAATAGGCCCAGGAGCAGGCAGCAAAGAATAAAAGCCACGTTAGTGAGCAGCTGATGAGGAGAGAGGAGACTGCTAAGTTTAGTGGCCTGGGTCGGGGAGAATGGGGCTGATCCCCAAGTTTGCCCATGCAGGGGTTCCAACTCAGAGGCAGTGGCCTGGGCGTACAGCCCAGGCCTTGGCCCTGGCCCCTCCCCATCGGAATATTCTCCTTAAAGCCCACACTCCTTGCCCTCTGTGCCCATAAAGGAGAACTGCAGCCACCAACCAAAGCCCCCTGCCAAGTCCACCAGGCCAAGCCAGCTTTTCCTATTGCCTAGGTGCTCGTAGGGGGCGGGTGAGGGGCGGGTACCTTCCCCCCGGTGCACTCGTCCAGAGGTGGGGCTTCCGAAGCTCGGCAGGACCTCCAAGTTCCTCTCCCAGGGAACTGCCCCGCCCCCTCTCTTCCCGCGGGGGGTCAGTACCTGAGGAAGCGGACAGCCTGCAACCTCGCTTCCTGCCAACTCCGAGAGAGGGCTGCCCGGGCCCCCAGCACCCCCGGGCTCCCGGCGCACATTCTCCCCAGGCGCAGCATCCCGACGTAGGCTGCAGTGGCTCGCATCGCCCAGCGTCCCGGCCAGAGTAAACTTTTAAAGTGAGCCGGGGCGGGGCGGGCGCGGAGCAGGCGGGGAGGCGGGGAGGGTGGCCTCTGCCTATGGGGTGCGGCGGACTCGGTCTCGGCCGGCGGGGCGGGGCGAGGCGCGGCGGTGGCGACTTCGCGCGGGGCCACCTTCCCCGCGGACCCCGCGACCCTCCCCCTCCTACCCTCGAAGAATAGCCCTGGTTTCCTCTGGATCCGAAGGCCCCAGCTGCAGTCCGAGACAGATCTTCCTCGCGACCATTCTCAGGGGCCTGGATGTTAGAGGCGCAAACGTTTGTTGATTTTCCAGAGGGGCCAGATGGCAAGGTCAAGATCCGTCCATCCCCTGCCCCCTTTAGCGCTCGGGTCACGTGCTGGCCCCGCTGCTTGCAAGCCAGGGGCCAAAGGAGCAGGCGCGAAGCGCCCTTGAGGCATGCCAGCTGGAGCAGAGGGCCCGCAGGGGTGGGGAGGCAGCCGGGACAAAGGTTGTCACCGGTGAGCCCCCTGCGAGCCCGCTGGCGCCAGAGTCGTAGCTGAGGCCAGATGTCAGCTTCAGAAGGGACACCAGTTGTACCCCATCTCACACGAGGCATCCTCCCATCCCTCCTCTGCCGCCTCTGCCTTGACCTTCTTCACAGGGTTGGGGGCCGGGCACTGTAAGGTGGCCTCAGGGACTGAGACCTGTGTATTTCATCCTCCATCTGCCTGTCTTGGGGCCTGTGGCACAGTTCCCTGTGCTGCCCTAGGCGTGAATGGAAAGCAACCCTATGCCCCTCCTTAGGGTTCCTGAGTTCCAGGGGTGGGTGGGGTACTAAGACACGGGCGAGCTGCGGGACACAGAAGGTGATAATCCTGCTCTGCTCCTGGCTAGGAAAGGTGGCACTGGGCACCAAAGAGTAGCACAGTTTATGCCTGTTCCAGGTCCACACTGCCTCGGGCTAGCCATGACTCTTCCTCTAGAGAAGGAGCTGGAGAAGAATGAGGCAAAGGCCCTGGCAGTGTGACCTCCCCTCTCCTGACAGGAGGAGATGAAGTGAACTCTGCCAGGCAGAAGGGGTGGCTGAGAGTGGAGCCTGGCCTGAGGTGACGTTTGCCCTTATCTGGGAACTCTGGCTCCATTTTGGTCATGAGAAGGAGTCCACGCTGAGCCTCTTTATGATCTTGAGCGTGACCTCAAGTCCTCCCTGGAACCCCGGTTCCTAGGGAGGGTCCACACACTTCAGTTTCTGTGGGGTTGGGGCAGGAAGAGACAGAGGAACAAAGAGATCACAGGAGGCTGGGCCTGCAAGGGTGTGCCTTCCTAATTAGACTAACTCTTTGATAGTGGACCAGGGAATGTGGAGGGCTGGGGCATTCACAAGTCTGGGGTCCCAGCCCTGACTGGCAGGCTCAGCCTCTAGCTTGCTTGGTGACCCTGGGTAAACCATTGTCCCTCTCTTGGCCTATGAAGTGAGGGGTAGGTACTGATCTTGTAGGTCCTTCCACTCTCCTGGCTAGTTTGAGGGTCAGTCCTCAGCAGGAGAGAAGTGAGTTCCTCCTTGAACTTTGCTCCAGCCTCGGCTTTTCAAGACACTGGGCTTTCCCGACTCTTCCTAGGTGCACAGGCCGTGGCATCATAGCCACCAGTTTCAGGGTATCTTGTACATGCCAGGCTCTTCAAGGACATTTTCTGTGACCCTCACAAACACCCTGCAAGGAACAGGCATGCCTTGGTATGTGTCTTTGTTTTTATGGATGAAGAAACTGAATCCTAAAGAGGTTCAGCCTCTTAAACATAGGCCAAAGCTCTGCCCGTAGTCTCTTTGTGGCTTTGGGCAAGTCACGGGGCCTCTCCAGCCTCACTATCTGTCAAATGGGGATCATAATACCAACTTCATGCAGAGGGCTGGATAAGAATCGAGTAGGTGGCACAGAACTGGTAGTTGGCCAGTTTTCAGTGATTGTTTCTTCCTCCATCCTCTCCTTCCTCTCGTGTCTTCACTCTAAGACCTTCCTCTGTGTTAGGAATTGCAGACCTTTTTTAGGAGGGGGAATTGTTTTATTTCTGCAAAGCCCTGGTAGGCAGTAGTTCTGTGGATGGGGAGGAAGGCTGGGAGAAAGTCAGGATGGCTGGTGGGGAAGTCTGTGAGCCATGGTGGGGGAATCATGTTGACCCAGCATTCTTGGGCTAGTATAGGGAAGTGGCAAGCAGGGCAGTGGGCCATCCAGGTCTTCCAAGTTCCCTTCCTTCCCTTTAACCAATTCAATTCCCCATTGCTCCCTAAGGGGCCTTCTGCCTGAGCCATCACATCTCCTTTATGCTGCAAGTGACTTGCATGATTTATGATCCCTGTAGTTTGGCTCATGCCATTGGCTACCATGAGAAAGCCCTTGTTCCCGCCCCTTTGCCCATGTCCTGCTTCTGTGCTTCAAAAGCAGGCTCAAAATGAAAACACCATTTATTGATTTTTTTTTCATTTGTAACATCAACCTATGAATAAAGTACAGAAGACCTAGTCACAGTTACAGAACAGAATGTAAATGTAAGTATCACTAACCTTGGAAGTTACATCTGTCAGTAGTTGAGAGGGAAAGGGCAGGGCAGACTATAAAATAAAAATAAAGGAGTATGTCATTATGTACAAAAATAATAATAAAACTATAGTAGCGGCCGGGCGCGGTGGCTCAAGCCTGTAGTCCCAGCACTTTGGGAGGCCGAGACGGGCGGATCATGAGGTCAGAAGATCGAGACCATCCTGGCTAATATGGTGAAACCCTGTCTCTACTAAAAAATACAAAAAACTAGCTGGGTGAGGTGGCGGGCGCCTGTAGTCCCAGCTACTCGGGATGCTGAGGCAGGAGAATGGCGTAAACCCGGGAGGCGGAGTTTGCAGTGAGCTGAGATCCGGCCACTGCACTCCAGCCTGGGCGACCCAGAGAGACTCCATCTCAAAAACAAACAAACAAACAAAAAAACTATAGTAGCAAGACTTAGGGAGGAGAGATGGGGTTATCAAACAGAAAATCTAAAAATGGCAAAATAAGTATGTCATTTAGAGGCAAGTAGCAGAAGAAGATAAAACAGAAATATATATTCTCCAAAGAAATATATCTCCAGGCCGGGCACAGTGGCTCATGCCTGTAATCCCAGCACTTTGGGAGGCCGAGGCAGGCGGATCACAAGGTCAGGAGATTGAGACCATCCTGGCTAATGCGGTGAAACCCTGTCTCTACTAAAAAAAAGAAAAAGAAAAAGAAAAAATTAGCCGGGCGTGGTGGCAGGCGCCTGTAGTCCCAGCTTCTTGGGAGGCTGAGGCAGGAGAATGGCTTGAACCCGGGGGGCAGAGCTTGCAGTGAGTTGAGATCCCGCCACTGCACTCCAGCCTGGGCGACAGAGCAACACTCTGTCTCAAAAAAAGAAAAAAAAGAAATATATCTCCAAAGAAGATATACAGATGGGCAATAAGCACTTGAGAAGGTACTCAAAAAATTCAGATCAAAACCATCCTCACACTCACTAGGATGGCTGTTATTTAAAAACAGCAACAGGCCCGGTGTGGGTGCTCATGCTTGTAATCGCAGCACTGTTGGAGGCCAAGGTGGGTGGATCACTTGAGTCCAGAAATTTGAGACAGGCCTGGGCAACGAAGTGAGAAACTGCCTAAACAAAAAGTACAAAAATTATCTGAGTGTGGTGGTGCGTGACTGAGGCAGAAGGATCGCTTGACCCCGAGAGGTTGAGGCTGTGGTTAGCTGAGATCACACCACTGCACTCCTGCCTGGGTGACAGAGCAAGATCCTGTCTCAAAAAACAACAAAAAAAAGAACACCCACACAAAAAAACAGAAAATAACAAGTACTGATGGGGATGTGGAGAGATTGAACACGTGTGCATTGGTGGTGGGAATGTAAAATGGGGCCACCGCAATGGATGGTATCGTGGTTCCTCAAAAAATTAAAAATGAGTTATATGATCCAGCAATTCTACTTCTGGGTATATACCCAAAATAATTGAAAGTAGGGACTCCAACAAACATTTGTGTACCAACGTTCACAACAGAATTATTCCCAATAGCCAAAAGACAGACACAACCCAAATATTCATCAGTGATTGAATGGATAAACAAATGCGGTATATCCATACAATGGAATGCTATTCAGCTTTCAAAACAGGAGGGACATTCGGACACATGCTACAAGCCACATGAACCTTGAACACATTGTGCTAAGTGAAATAAGCCAAACACAAAAGAATAAATACTGTATGATTCCATTCATATGCGACCCTTCAAGTAGTCAAATTCATAGAGACAAAGTGGAATGGTGGTTGCCAGGGGTGAGGTGTGTGGGGTGGAGAATGGGGAGTTATTATTTGTTTAATGGGTATAGAGTCTCAGTTTAGGAAGATGAAAGGGTTTTGGAGATGGATGGTGGTAATGGTTGTATAACAATGTGAATATACTTAATGCCACTGAACTGTACCCCTAAAAATGGCTAAAACGATATATTTTATTTATGTCTATTTTTCCACAACTTTTAAAAAAACTTTTCTTTGGGGCATGGCAGTGGGAGGAACAGTGAGGGCAGAGAACAGGCTTTTGTTAAAAAAGCTATTTTTGGTCGGTTGCAGTGGCTCACGCCTGTAATCCCAGCACTTTGGGAGGCCGAGGTGGGCGGATCACAAGGTCAGGAGATCGAGACTGTCCTGGCTAACACAGTGAAATGCTGTCTCTACTAAAAATATAAAAAATTAGCCGGGTGTAGTGATGGGCACCTGTAGTCCCAGCTACTCAGGAGACTGAGACAGGAGAATGGTGTGAACCTGGGAGGCAGAGGTTGCAGTGAGCCGAGATCACGCCACTGCACTCCAGCCTAGGTGACAGAGCAAGACTCAGTCTGAAAAAAAACAAACAAACAAAACTGTTTCCTTATTTTATTTTCTAAGATGGTGTATATGATTTCTCTTAATAAAATTTTTTATTAACATACCTGAGGGAGGCTTCAATCAGTTACAGGAACTAATGAGTTTGATGAGGTTTTCACTGTAAAAAAAGGAGTACAAAGAGTTTACTTAGGCTTAGAATCAACTTCAATCAACTTCAGCGTCAGATCTGGAAAGAATCCAGCCTTAGTGCTTTTTCTGTCAATGACCTTGAGCAAATCCCTTTTCTCTAGTGTAATTTTTCATAGCTCTCTGTGGTAATTGTCTCCAAATAGTAAGTGAAAAATGGTCCTTTTAAAGAATTTCCTTCACTGTGTGTTTGAGAACTGAGCTGTCTAATAAGAAATGCAGTGATCATGAAGGAGAGGTGGAAAAAAAGGAGAGACCGCTGGCAGCCACAGAAAGAAAAGGGGAGAGGAAGATGAGGAAGTTTCAGTTTTCAAAGAGGTTGAAACGACTTGGAACAGAATGCATATATTCTGCTAATCAAGTCAATTAGATCCTGTAGTCAATATATATTTTTTAAAAAGCCTAATAAAAATTGTTCTAAACATGGATGTTTCTCATTCTCAAACTGAAAGTGAAAACAAGGAACTTGCTGTGAACTACTGTGTAGAATCAAGATATCTTTTTTTTTTTTTTTTTGAGACTGTCTTACTCTCACCTGGGCTGGAGCTGGAGTGGTGCAGTAGGGCAGTCATAGCTCACTGCAGCCTTGAACTCCTGGGGTCAAGTGATCCTCCCACCTCAGCCTCCTGAGTAGCTGGGATTACAAGCGCATGCCACCACACTGGGCTAATTTTTCTTTTTTTGTAGAGATGAGGATCTCAATGTGTTGCCCAGACTGATTTTGAACTCCTGGGCTCAAGTAATCCTCCTGATTCAGCCTCCCAGAGAGCTGGGATTCACAAGCAGGCGCCACCACACCCAGCTGAGTAAAATTATCTTGATTGCGACTAACAATTGCTGCAGGCACAGGCAGACGTGTTTTTAAATGATCTGTATTTTCTTGCTTACATCCCCAAATTGAAAAACTAAGCCATAATCCCAGCAACTGCCAAAAACACTATGAAAGCCTTGCTTTTGTAAGAGGATAGGACAAAAATCTTTATTTGGATGGCATAATATTTTACTTCCCTTGGGTCAAAGTCAAGAACTAAAATCAACTGTGAAGTCTTGGATAAAGACCCAGTGTTAAACCAAATCTAATTTAACTTCCCTTTTTTATTCATTGGTTCAACTTTCATTCATTGAGTAACTACTTGCTGACAAGCATGATATGAATGAGACATGGCGTCTGCTCTCAATGAGCTCGCTGTCTAGGAGAAAACACCAGTCCTGAGACTGACAATGGCCTGCACTGCAGTCAGTGCTGTGTGAGGGAGGCTGGGGGAGAGGCATCTACCCAAGGTGTGTTGCAGAAGGTCTCCTGGAGGTTTGCATCTAGTCCTGAGAAAGAAGCAGTGTGTCAGTTTCCTATTGCTGCTGGAACAAATTGCACACATGTAGTGGCTTAAAACCCTAGAAATTTATTGTCTTACAATTCTGGAGGCCAGAAGTCTTAAGGGAGTCTCACGGGATTAAAATTAAAGTGTTGGGCCAGGTGCAGTGGCTCATGCCTGTAATCCCAGCACTTTGGGAAGCCGAGGTGGGTGGATCACCTGAGGTCATGAGTTCAAGACCAGCTTGGTCAACACGGCGATGTCCCATCTCTATTAAAAATATAATAATTAGCTGGGCGTGGTGGTGCACACCTGTAATCTCAGCTACTCAAGTACAAGAAT